TGATGAAATATATTAACCTCTTTTGATCAAGAATAGGAGGAGAGAAAATAGTGGAAAACTGCTTGGTTGGAATATTTGAGTTAGTTTCTTTTGCATTAAACTGGAGATAGAACATCATCTTTCCCCTGTCCAGCCTGCAGTGGTAGGTGCCTTCCCTTTTTGATAAATAACAAACCTACTAGCCCTAGGGAAACAGTCAGCTACAACCAGTAGAAACATTAGCATACATATAAATATTTCCAATCACTTATATTCTTTTGTACAAAGTTTTATGGAAAACATAAAGCATATTTCTGTCTCAGAAATTAGCTGCAAATGTTTAAGGACGTATTGGATGAATAGCTACTAAAGTTTAAAAAAACACCTAACTTTTATCAGATAAATTTTAAAAATTTGCGGTGGAAGCTTCTTTCAGATACAATGACAAAATAGAGGCCCTTTAAATTAATGTTTTCCAATTTTTTCCCAAGCTCAAGTCTGGCATGTGAAATCTGTTTTAAAAGTACTACATTTTGAATTCTCCATTTACATGTATGCCTAAATTTTTTTTCTAAATATCTGCATTTTAGTGAGTGGGTTTACAATGGTTGTGTCAAGTTCTTATCTAGAGATACCATAAGCAGATATGTTTGAAAATAACTAAGAGGATATCTTCTGATGACATCTTCTGATTGTATTTTTGTGCAGACAAAAGGCTGAATTTGACTAGTCTATACAAAGTCTTAGGACCTAATCCCAAATCTACAGATTTCAGTATAACAAGAAATATCACGTATCTTTCTCTAGTAATTAACATTGTGATAATTTTTTTGGTTAATAAAGGGCATTTTATGCACAAATTTAACTTGGTTTCCAGATATGTAACTGCAGTAGAAATCTGTTGTTCTGCTCCTTGATGATTTGCCAGTTCTGCTGACAAATTGTTTGCTGTGTAATATTCCATTAGACTTGTCAGTTCTCAGTGGGGTCACTACTGGAGTATTTGATTTTAAACAGAGAAGCACTTAAGAAAAGCATTTCACTTAGAGATAGAAATGTTTCAATGCAAATTATACCAGAGGACATAAGTAAATTTATTTTTATTTTCAAATTTAGAGATTGTTCAAAATTCCATGGGCTAGGCAATTTAAAATGTTGACTATAGAGTCTCTACTCTGCAAAAGAGGGTTGATCTGTTTCAGTGAATCAGCAAAAATGCAGTTACTGTGTAGCTAAAGTGGCATGGCAGTTTATCCAAATTAAAGGTTAAATCACTGTTATCAATTTCAGTGTATAGAAAACTCCCCATCTTCCCTAACCCACTAGTTTAGGTATGTCAATCTTTTAAAGATATGAGAGATTAAAATGCAACAGGTTTCAAACCATGTTAGATTAAATCTGTACTCAAATGTTGTACTGATTCAAGCTCTAAGAAAAGACGCAAGAAAGCAATGGAATAGAAGGCTGTACGTGTCAAATCTTAATCGAAGCTGTTTTAGAAAAAAATATATGGCACTGAGTTTGACAGCCTGAGGGAGATGAGGCTGCTGCTGCTGTTCCATACCCCCAAGTCCAAGCAAAGATGAAGATATATTCCCAGTAGGCACGTACACATAGAGAAAGCACATACACACACCAGATATATGCTGAGTTGTCCACACAGATCACAGACACTCAAAGCCTTCCCATGAACACAAACAGCACCAGGGGCCTCATTCTGTCCTCTTCTCTGGCTGGACAGGATGAAAGACCACTAGTGATAGTGGACACACCCCATCTATTCATGCATTCATAACAGAGAAACCACTCCCAGCAAAGAGTTAGAAAGGAATCTAATAAGAGGACAGGACAAATGGTGTTCATCAGACACAGAACATAGCCAGACAAATTTATTACCCAGCAAACTATTTACATGTGACTGGCCCTTTTATCCCTTTTTATCTCCATTTCCCCTCTGTCACCTAAACTCCTCACTTGCCTTCCTGATGGTTTCTCCCCCAAACATCAACTAAGTCCTTTGCTATCCCAAATTCCTTTTCTCCAAATCTTATAATTTGCTCTACATACCTAGACAGCAATCCCCAGCATTACATAGAAAGATGATTTTTCCTTCTGAATCCTTGTTTCAAATTCCTATCTGCCACTATACCCTCCTGTGCTCCTCTGGGCCTGGACAGATGGACCTTTGAGGGTCTGATTTGCCTTATGGTGGGCCTGGGTAGGTCTGTTGGGGTATTGTTTGGGCTAGTATTGTTCTTCCAGCGTCTCTCTGAGCTCTTCTATGGGTGTGAAGATGAAATTCATCATATAACCTAACAGGGCAACTCAGCAACACACTGACACGGAGGTTTTTCCTTCTTAAAACAGCATTATAAGGCCGGATTGCACATTAAGTCCTCATGCTTCCCTATAAAGGGTTCCAGTATTTGTCTAGAAGTGAACAGGAAAAGCACTACAATGCAAAATGGTGCATTTTCAAGTGCATGATTCAAAGACCACCAGCAAGGGGAGGATTTTTATGAACCCATGTATTGCCAATTCAAATTTTTTTTCAGCTAGAAAGATTCCATCAGATATAATGAGATGCTAATTATTTCAATCTCTAAAACCCCAAACTCAAAAGACAACAAAAGAAAATCTTTTCAAGAAACTTATATCCTTATGTTTTAAATAAAGTTCAAACAAACTGTCTTGATCTAATATTATGTCAGAGTAATAATTAAAATACTTGAAGAAACATAATGTTTAATGGCCAGGATATTTTTTTTTTTTAATAAAGTGTTGGTTGAAATAATTTATAGAGGTGTAAGGGAGTTTGCCCTGTTGTAAAAATATGAAAAATTCTGCTTAAAAATCAAAGAATATCAGGGCAGCTGAGCAGTTACTTATGCTTCTTATCATGAGAGAGAGTCAGAATAATGCTGATTTATCTGACAGAGGATTTTCCTGTAATCCTCCCCATATTCTGTGTATGTTTGCAGAACACAGTCATCTGAAAACTGATAGGCTGATAAGTTTTCATAGAACTGCATTCTTCATTGGGAGAAAAAAAAAAAAAAAGTGGGAATTGTGTCTAAGGGAAAAAGCCTTAAAAACAAATTGGGGAAAAAAGTTTAAAACGAAAAAAATCTCTCAGTTCCCTCCTCCCAGCCTTACATATCTTAGTTACAGGGTTACTCAGTTATCTAGACACCAGGGCTGTTTCCTCATTAAAGTCAGGGAAATTTCATTGAAATATGAAATTTTATATAGTATTCAGAATACATACAGTAATTCTATTAAATGTTGATACCTGTCAGTAGCAAATAGTAGCAAATACACACTCTTTACAATACTGCAATAAATTATTTATTAAATTAATGTTTAAATGCCTGGAAAAAAAATCGGGACAGGATGAAGATAAATCTGACTTTCAAGAGCTTTTGCAATTCTATCAGGATTAAATCCATGTTGAAATGAAATATGCTTTCTCTGCAAGTACCTGCTTTAAATATTTTAAATTAAAGTGGTTTATTCTTGAAGAGTGAAGGATATTTGGTTGTGGGGTTTTGGTTTTTGGTCTTTTTTTTGGGTTTTTTTTGGGTTTTTTTTGTTTTTTTTTTTTATCTTCAACTCTGGTCTTTTCTATCAATTTATAAAAAAAAAATCACAGCTGAAATTGTCATCATTTGAGAAGGTACTTTATTAGTCAAAATCAAAGAAAAATAGGCAAAACAAAAGTAACAGAATGAAGGCTAGGTTGAGCAGGCCTTGGAAGGAGTTTTTATAAGCTTGTATAATACATGTTATTACAGGCAAAAATTACTGTTCACAAGAACTTTGGTATTGTAGTGGGAAGATAGAAAGATGCCACAGCCCATAGGAAGTACCTGGTTATGTTTCCATGTTGAAGTTCCTTGTTCCCTTCTAAAATAATTGATTTTTTTATAAAACAAACCTAAATTTTTCATCAAATAAGTCGTATTAAATGAAAGTCATATCAAACACACTCGAAAAATTTATTTTCTGATTTATGTTCTTTGTCAACTTTGTTTGAATATAATGTTCTTCCTTTGTAAGCAGCTATAAGTACACTATAACTGAATAAAAGCAAGGTTTAAGAATCTTACCCATTCCTTAAAATAGTTGAGGTAGTTTTTAAATTCAGTTGTATGTAAGTATCAAAATACAAATATTAAATATACCTGCTTTTCAAACAGGTAGGAGTCAATCCTGCAGGCCTTGGAACTTTGCTGGTTTTCAGTGAAAGTTCTTACAAGTACAGAAAACTTAGACATAGTGAACAGGAACAGGACACCTTCCAACACATATAGTCACAAATAAAATGTTTCTCTTTAGACAGCACTCAGATTCATCCCATGACCTACCATGCACATATACACACAGAACAGTTTTATTTGTACTATTGATGAAGTTTATAACCCATAGCAGAGGTTTTGTATGCTTCTGCAATTACTGATTGTACAACTCACGTAACAAATTGTGGACTAACAGCTCAAATGTCCAATCCTCAGAAATACAAACAGAAGGTCACATTATATGAAAATTCAGTCCCTTTGTCAATAACGGATCTGCTCATTTGCAGGGCATTAAGTATGTTTGTAAGTATTTGCAGGGTGCAGGATCCTTCCACATAAATTCAGAGTATTCTTTACAAAAGAATTCAAGAAAAGGTATTTTTAATAATTTCTAGAAAATTGGCAGTATGGAATTAAGTGCTTCTTTGACTCTTTCAGACATCAAAATTAATTCAGTACATAATGCCAAATGCTTCTGGAATTGATTTACAGGCACAGGAAAAGGATTAATAGCCTTTTTTTCCCAATTATTAAGGTTGAGAATAACTGTACAGATCTGCCTGTTGCCTCTGGGCACATGCAATTGAAAAAATTATTACTGAGGAACTTACTGCCACATTCCTACCAAGTTCTTTAAAAATACCTTTTGTGAATGCAAGGATTCTGTTTCAGTGGAAGTTACTGTAATATTAATTTGTAAAGACAACTCTCTTTTATTTTCAGATTCACGGCCTCTACCAGATGTAGCCCTAACAGGGAAGTGCACCCGAGAATGTGATGAATATGGCCACTCAGACTCCTGCTGGATGCCAGTCCGCACTTCTCCGGAGAGAAAGCAGAAGAGCCAGCCAAAACTCTCCACTTTCATGCCTGTTGATGAACGGGGCAGTCAGGAAAAGCTGGCCAATGGAGAAGCCTCCCTCATGGGTGACCGCAACAGAAACCTCCTTAACAAAAAGTTGACCTCATCCTATGAGACCTTCAGCGCAGCTAGTTTCAGCAAAAATGAAGAAGGCAACCCAGAGGATATCCCCCTTACACAGACAGGGGAATACAAGCCATCTCCTGTCAACACTCTAACTAGAAGAGAAGTTTACCTGTAGGCTAAAAAGCAGCAACAAAGTTCTTTCATAATGTAAGAAAGAAATGGGGCAAAAGTCTTAAAATCACAACAATTTTAAGAAAAAAATGTGAAACAATAAAGAGGGGGCCACCAAAGAGACAAAAGATCTGCCTGCCACTTCTGCCTCCATAGCAGGCATGTAATTATGCTGTCTGCCTGACTATACTGTACAATGTAGAAAACATTGCTGTTACTTGCATGTCTAATTCCCCCTCGCTGATTTTTATTTTCCTAGATCTATGGTTGCAAATTCCTCCCATAGTAGCAAGCTTGATTAAAAAGAACACGACATACTGTTGTTTCCCCTCTGCAGAAGCATGAATTGAGCCACTCACTTTGTTTGTTTGTCATCTGGCTTGTTGAAGATAACAGGTCAGGGAAAATGTATTCAAAACATACCATCTGAATATTGCTGATCCCCATCAGGGACAATCCTTCAGAAACCATAAAGATATAGGATAAATATAAAGGAATAATCATTAATAGGCACTTTGTGAAGACCACAGCTTTAATATTCTCACCTCTCATCTGAGGCTGGAAGCAACAGAAATACATTCAGCCTGAGACTGCAGTCAAAAACATGGCATACTTTCCCGTGATTCATGGACTCTGGTTCTGTTTTATCCATTGAACAAACCTGTCTTGCTGTGTCTCTTTCTCTCTTTCTCTCTTGTTCTCTGTAATGATTATTTCAATGTAAACACAACTACTAACACTTATACCATAGGATAGCAATGATAAACTGTTGAAATCATTATTTTGGGCAAGACTAACATTTAGCTGGGAAGATTGTAATAACAAAAAGGCCAAAGATCACACAATGGATCAGGGGAACTGCTAAGTATTGGGGCTTGACTTAGAAAATAAATGTATTCACAAAAAACACATGTACTCATAACAAAGCTTCAGTTACATTCTATGCAGCAGCACAGTTCACAAGCCCAGATAACAAATTTTTTTCCAGTGTGGTTCAGTTGAATGCCCAAAGGAACTGATGCTTTTTTTGTAATGACATGATACATTGCAGCACATGCTGCATATGATATGCTGCATATGCTAGTTCCAGGGAATTTTTAAGATCAAAATTAAAAACTAATAGTAGAAGAGAAAGCCATGTTAGTGGGAATGCTTGATGGGAGGGAAAAAGGTGGACAATGGGATAATGCAGTAACAAGAGGACATTACAACTCAGATATAAAAGCTTCTTTTCAGATTGCAAGGCATGGTTGCTTAGTCTGGTCATCAGTGTTGCAGCTTATCAACTGCTTCAATTATGTCAAAAATGATGATAATGAAAGCTTTCTTGAAACCAAGTGCATTTAAAACCAAGAAAAGTGCAATACTAAATGATATCAAGACTCAGAACATTTAGCATTAGTACAAAATGGTCTGATAAACGGTGATATGATACCTAGGAGGTCAAGAGGAGTTAAAAGGAGTCCAAGCTATGATGTGCAAGAGCTGTAACAATTATCATGGTGAGTGCTTCTTGAAAGGAAGAGGAAATGAAACAGGGTTTTGTGCAATAAAAGCAACAAAACATGCAGAACATCAACCAATTGCTTTGTAGTTGATGCTGTATTAATAATCACAGACTGAGCTCAGACATTCAGACAAATGTGACAATCAAACGACACAGCAAGGACAGCTCAAGGACGGAGAAAGCATTCAGACCCCTGGCTGTTGAACTGGTGTGAAGGCATGGCTAGATGGCTCTCTAGTAACTGTAGTCATAATGTAGCTTTGGGTAGTTTCTTGCTTTGAAGAATTGCATAAAAATAACCTTAAACAGCCTAAGGTAGTGGTTGGAAAATCAAAAGAACTCATCACATTTATCTTTTGAATTCACTTCTCCATATTGTGGGTTGTGCCATTACTGGCCTTTTCATTCTCCTCTTTAAAGTTTACTTTCTTCAAGTAACATTAGTTTGTGTATAGCAGTTATGATGAATGGGCACATTTTAGAAAGAAAATATTAAAATCAAAGATTATTAACGATTGAACATTTTTATGTTTAATTATTTAAGTAATACGGGGAGATGCAAGCTAGTACTTTGTTATGAGACTGCGTATAGCAGTTACTGCTTTGTATAATCTGTAAGTACCTGTTTAAAAATGCTTCTAAAAATGCTTATGTAATGTAAACACATTTTTCTTGCACGTTTCAAAAGAATACACAATTGCATAACACAAATGTTCAACAGAACTTCCTTTAATAAGATTTTATTTAATATTACACACAAGAAAATAAATTAGGTAGCTGGGTTCCATATATTCTTAGACACTTTTTCTATAAGGCTAATAATACAGGTCATAATAGACCTTCAGATTAAATGGATCAGCAGTCACTTACCAATTTTTGCACCACATAAGACAGTCATGAAATAATTTTCTTGTGTGCATCTCCTTAGATCTAAAATGCGTGAAAGAATTTTTTTTAAATTCTATCTACTGTAAGTATTCACAGTAATTCTTGTGGAACTGGCCACTATTAATATGCTGATTACTCTTCTGACCTGGCATGACATACAAATATATTTTGTGTTTGTATTTTTCCTCTTTATTTGAAATAGGTTAAATCTGGTGCCACTCCATAAATAGAGTGCTTTTGTATAAAAAATAAACAAATAAAGCTATAAAAAATAATTAGGGTGAATGCAACATATGCAACTGTGCCTTTTATACCTATTATTATGGTAAAGTGGTAGTTGGGTTTGGACACTGAGGGGTAAGGGGCTATTCCCAACTTTTTTGAACCTGTATATTTACCTGTGTTTATTTTCTGAGAAATTATAAATAATATATTTAAAAACAAGCCTTTTGCCAAACTCAGTTAATGGACCAGTCTTAAGCATTATTAACACAAGGCTGTGGTTTAAGTAGGTCTTGAGGATTTTTTTAATTACTATTTGTGTGGGTTTGGGGTTGTTTTAATTTGTTTTTACTTCTGCTGCCTGGAAAAGTATGATCCGTCTATATGATAGTTATTTAGCAAGGTGTCACCAGTTCATGTTGCCCGGAAAACTGACAATTTTTTTAATAGCTTTTAGCCTTCATCACATTTTATTTGCACAGTATAGAAATCATCTTTTTCTTTCCTTCCATGGGAAACTCAAATGAGCTTTGCATGTATTTTACATTAGGGCACCTTTATAGATTGATGCGTTAATATATAACTTTATATGTATTAGAAAGTTCAATAGCTTTGGTCTAAAATCTAAGGCTTATTCCAGATCTCAGACCCACTATGTTTATTGAATATGGTTTCTGACTGGCCTGCTGCCTGAGTTTCAGGAGAAAAAGTTAAACATTATTTTTATGTGGGGGAAAAACTTAAATGGGATTGAAATGATTGGCTGAAAGGCTACCCTAGAAGTTGTCAAGCAGAAAAATCATGAATATGGATAAAGATCTTGCCAGAAATTCAGCCGTCACCAAATACTTGTAAGGAAGTTGAACAATGAAATATTTTTCTTTCTGTTTCATTGGTGATAAATACACAGAGTTTCCTTAAGAAAGAAGCAGATGAAAAAGCAATAGAAATGAAAGCCCATCTGTTAAGTTGTATTACTGACTGAAAGAGCGTAAGCACTAGGAAGAAGACAACATTCACCAGCTACCTGGGGTATGCTTTCAGACAACTTTTCCTAAATTTTAAAGCACTTGCATTCAGTGTGGTACGATCTGTTTGTAATAATAATCATTGACTATTGTTCTGCAACTTGGATGTTGATAGTGAAGCAGAGAACAATTTATCATTGTTTATTATGAGTCACTATGCACGCAACTATGCTAAACATGGCAAAATGTATTAAACGCTAGTCCACCTCTATTTATGAAATATTTACATAATTTAATTTGCTTTTGTACAGTTTTATGTAAATAAATTGCTTGTCATTTTTGTCTCTGCAAATTAAAATATAACATGTTCAACTGGTTGCCCTTTTGCCAGTTTACTTTCTTGGACAGTCTATTCCAATTTTACTAGATTAAATCACATGCTAGCTTCAATATTTAATGGTATTTTGAATAACAAAGATGACACTGCCTTAGTTATTGGCCACAGATTCGGCTGCAGAGGTAGCTGAGGTTTTACCTGTCTTCAGAGTGAAATTTGATATAGTCAAGGCTACTATCACCCAGGACAGCGCACAGCTATTTTCACAGCAGAGAGTACTTGTAACCTGAACAGTTGCTTCTGATTACTCTTTAAAAGGGCTTATTTTTAAAATGTGTTCAAAACCTTCATATTAGGTGGAATAACAAGCCTTTAGTAAAAGTCCATGTACTTCCATTACAGAATGGCAATTTTCTTATTAACAACAAGGCTGCTATTTTTTCCAAGTTTAGAACTATTAACACATCCTAAAATGTCAGTAGAGCATCTATACTGAGAAAAACAACAGAACAACACAATTAATGCAGAATTTCAGGGGAAAAAAAAGAAACAAGAGCCTCCAGTTCTCTCTGGCTGTGAATCAAATTATCCACCTCAGCATAATTGTAAATCAAGAATGAATCCTCCTCAAGAAGAAACATCTAAGAAGCAAGAGTTTATTCCTTAGCTGTCTGGATCACACATAGCTTTTTTTGTCTTTGTTTGTTTGCTTGTTTATTTTAAAAGAGCAGGTTCCAAAACAGCCATTAAATTGGGATTTGCATCTGTTATAACATGTGAAAAAAGTGTTTGTGGGGAGAGGGATTGAAGGTCAAAACTCCTTTCACCTCTCTGTGTTATGCAAAATACAGAATTACCACAGAGACCTTGGAAACCATGGAATACAATTTCCCAGTAAACATCACAGAAAAAGCCATTTATATCCTTTTACCTCAGTTACAAATTAGGCTTTGGTTTTTGTGAGTACAAACTGGCCAGAACTTTTTATAAAATAAACTTTACATTGCAAATTTCTTTCTCTGAATGTGCTTTGACTTAACATTTTCTAGTCTGCTCTAATGAATGTGTCAAAGAAGATTCTTCCACAAGCAGAGGTCTGAATCTGCAAGCTTATGGAGAAAGTTTAGTTCACCACCTGACCCTGTATCTCTCACACTGCACTTGAATAAGCGGGTGAAACTACCCCTCCACCTCTTTCAGCAGTAACAATATTTTAATGAGTTACTTCAATCAAGCTTTCAAGTTTATTTTATACTTGTTGTAGCATGCAAGGCATGACCTTATGTTTGTTTGTCTTTTATCTGCATTTTCTTGTTTACCCACTGCATCCAGGAAGGTGATTACAGGAAGATAAAATAAATTTCCTGAGACACTAAGAGTGGTAAGAGAGGATGATATAAACTAGCAAAAGCAAACAATTTATGCTCCCCTTTCACCCTGGCTTCAGTTCTCCCTCCTGCGTTGCAGTAAATTGTAAATCTTATGCAGAGACTGAAATTAATAAACGTGACCTGGGCAGAAATAATTTCTTGTCTTTATTGAGGCTCCTGAGGGGAGTGTATAGAAGATGCTTAATAGTTCATAAATATGCAAATTATCTAGCCTTTGCTGAAAAGGAAAGCAGTGCTAGCATTAGATGGGTGTGTTCCTTAGTGAAATCATAGGATTCTAGTCAGGCAGTTCATACAGCTCTTTCTTCTGAAGAAAGTACATCTGGTTTAAAGACTGATAGACACTCACCAAGAAACTGGGGCGTGGGTTAGGGGGGTAGGAAATGCAAAATACATATTCTGTGCTTGTGTGCAATAACGTCTGGGGAAAAAAAAAGGGGGCAAAGAACAGCAAATAAGTATAATGTATATAATGTAATTGGTACAGAATTTATAGAAATATATTCCTTTAGGACTTTCAAACTGATTTAAAGATTGAAAATAGGGAGATACTAATGTATAATTTTTAGCTATCTATGGTATGGTACTGTAATTTATAAGAAAGGATTCCTTTTAATTATAAGACATATGATTCTATTTAATGTGATGTCTCTAAAGATTTAAGCAAGGGTTAAAAATGTTTATATATTAGTATTCCTTTTTTTTTTTTTTTTAAGCTTACTAAAGCAAATTTCAGCAGGCTTCTACAGCATTCACTGAAGGAAAAGACAATTTTGGAATGACCAAATAGGCAAGATATAGTTTTTATATTTCTATTCTATTTTCAGGATAACAACCAACTTTTTCATGTTCATGTTATAATAACAAATGAAAAAAACCCAACACTTTTCAGCTGTGCTTTCAAGGATAATACTGAAGGCACAAAGAAGCCAAGGTAGTATAAAAGCATGTTTGTATCATGTTTACTTCTCCTTTGGAAAATTCACACTCAGCATAATGTAGTGTCATGAAGAGAGCAACTTAAATAACAATGAAACACTTGAGTTTTTCCCAATATTGTCAGCAATCACAGAAGAAAGACTAGAAAAAAGGGGGGGAAAAAAGCTGTATCTTTTTACTACCTACTTCTCAAGGATTTCCAGCATCCACGGAATTCCCCAAATAGTAATACTGGATTCTACCATTTCCAACAAAAGTGTACACTTTTACATCTTCCAAAGATACTTGCAGGTTTTATAACTTGTAGTAAGTCTAGTTCAGGAAAATCATCTTCCTACTTTTTCTTCTTACATAGTAGCTGTGTTACATGACTCCAGAAAATGAATCTGATTCTAACTGTAGCAAGGTTATGGTGTTAGTAGTATGT